GCCCCTTCTAGAATATTCTCGAGGCTGCCTGTTCCCAGTATCCCACTCAGGATGCCTTCTGCTTGCCCCTGTCCCTGAGTCAAAGCCGGAGCAGGTCCTGCTCATTACCTGCAGTCAGGGTAGCCCAGATGGGGCTGCCTATGAGAAGACACAGGGCCAGTGTCATCCAGGCACTGACACCTGTCCCTCCTGGTGGAGAGAAAGGGACAGATTTCTTAGATGTACGGGCTGCTTTTAGATGGACCTGCTCTCAGGAATGTTCTTCATCGGCTGCTTCTTAGTGGCGTTCACGGTGGTTCCCAGTGGCCCATGTCTCTGCTGTAGGTGCCAACACAGTTTAATTGTGTGTGCTCTGTTGTAACTGGAGGGACATTATTCCGGGCAGCGCTGTTCAGAAATCTTGGAAACCTTTGAGGTGTGGGTGATAGGAGCTCCTCAAGCCCCTAGGGGTCATGCCCTCAGGAAGTAGTTCTTGGGTGAGAACTGTTTTAACAACTTGAGTTTGGTTTGAAGCATAATCACTTGTTGGTCGTAGCCACAGGGCCCATCTACCATGAGGAGAGGCAGCCCACGGGCAAGCCCCAAAACTCTGCCCTCTAAATCGCAAGGCAGATGGACATTTTCTCTTTGGACATCAGCAGACCTGAGTATTTCATGGTGATGACAGAAAGGCTAACCAGCACAATGTCCTGTGCTGTACAAGCTGTCGGAGAGAGACAGAGAGACACAGAGAGAGAGAGAGGGAGAGAAGAGAGAGAGAGAGAGAGAGAGAGAGAGAGAGAGAGAGAGAGAGAGAGAGAGAGAGAACTAAGAGGTGTCTGCTGACTCAGTTCCTGCAGCACCAGCAGCTCTCAGATTGGGGGGTGTAGGAGGACATTGCAAATCTGCTCCCACAATTACCCGGGCGCTTGGAATCCTGGGATCTCAGCTTGCAACAAGAGAAGCTTGCTAATCTCCCAGAAGCTCTGGGTTCCAGAAGCTCCACCAACTTGGCTGTCATCCTTGGTTTGTGTGTTTGGCCAATAACTTAGGACAGGTTTGGCAAGCCCAGCTCAACCTTTCCTGGAATCTTGTCTTTATCTAGAAGCCAGCGGGACTCCTAGCAGAGCTCACAGTATGCACTGGGCAGGGTAAGTGAAATTACCCAAGTTTTCAACAATCCCAGGCTGCATGATCTGGGACACAGGGGGCTGCTGGCTCAGCCGGACAGGTCTGTGAGGGGGAAGAGGGCTTCCTTCTTGCGAGCCTGCGTCCTGAGAAGGCTGAGAAGAACTAGACCTGACAAGCACTCCGGCCGTGTCTGCACTTGCACAGATGGAATTTTAAGCACATAAGACACTGGGGGTGCTGGTGCCAGGGAGCTAGCTTTCACAGCAGAGTTCTGTGGGTCCTGCAAAAACAGCAAGAACCCATGTCTTGGAAAAGTGACGTCTGCTGGTTCTGACAGACAGGGATATGAGGCTCCTTAAAACAAAACAAAAACAACAACAAAACCAGCTATGGAAGCTTTGTGCTGAGGCAGGAACATGAAAAGGAGGAGCAGGGAGTAATGGGCTCTGCGTGTGTGCGCGTGTGTGGATGTGCCTGTACGTGAGTGTGCAAGTGTGTGTTCATGTGTGTGTGTGTGTGTGAACCTGTATGTGAAAATTGTAAGCCAACACCAGGCCTCAATCACTCTCCACCATGTATGCATGTATGTGTATATGTGTGTATGTATATGTATATATATACACATATAGTTTAATATGCATATTTAAATTAAATACATAGTTAAGATTTATTTTCTTTTTAATTTAAGAGGCCCATGGGCACAATGCCTGAAGTGTCTAGAAGAGGGCACCAGATACTTAGGAGTTGGAGTTACGGGAGGTTGTGCACTGCCACTTGCCGCCGAGAACTGAACCTGGGTCCTCTGCAAGAGTACCCAGTGCTCTTAACTGCCCAGTCCTGAGCCTTAGTGTTTCAGACGAGAGGTCTCTCAGTGAATCTGTAACTCGCCAATTTGGCTTCTGGCTGGCCACGGAGCCCCAGGACCAGCCTGTCTCGGCTTCCCCTGGCACGCACCTCTGCTGCCCCTCCCCATGGGTACTGTCACATAAAGCACTCATCAGTAGTCAATGGGACCACGTTGTTCAGTGGCAGTGGTGACTGGCAGATGCTTTTTAGGTTCTACATGTAGATGAGTCATTAAAGACAGTGGGCTACGGGAGCTGACGCACGCTTGGAGTATACTATGACCCCATTCTCACACCTACTGCCTTGCAAACCAGGGGGAAACAGGATGTTTTCCTTCTAAAGGAAAGAAGTGAAGGGAAGCTTTGTTCTCCTGCCATTTGTGTCCTGCCAAATCTTGATCGCGTGCGGTATGCAAGAGGGTTTCTTACATTATTTGTTACATTTCCCCCAAACTTGAAAGCTGAGGGGGAGGCCCTCTTGTTTCCCCTCTGCTGGCTAGCTCACTTTTCCCTGTGGTGTGCAGTGTAGGCAGCAGAAGAGGCACATGGTAGCCAGCACCATAGAAAAACGATTTCAGTTAATACCCGAGTAACACATTTCAGGACTTTGAAAACATCTCAAAAGCAGTCCTCAAGCCTGCTTGAAGAACCCCACGTTGATGATCTGGGGTGCCAGGGTCTGATGGTTAGTATTGCTTGTCTACTGGGCAGATCTCGAACCAGCTGAGAGCTGGGGCTCTTATCGTGCCTGTGGGGGGTTTTCTTGACTGCACCTGAGGTAGAAAGACCTGCCCACCGTGGGTAGCATCATTCCCCGGCTGGCTGGCATCCTGGACTCTTCATCCCCATCTGCCTCCTCGTTGGGGCTATGATGTGACCAGCTCCTTCAATGTCTGCCTGACTTCCCACCGCTGTGGACTGTAACTTTGAACTGTGGTCTTGCACACACCCTGTCCCTTAAGTTGATGCTGTCAGACTGTTGCTATCACGGCGCTAGCAAAGGAAACTAAAACACAGGCCAAGTAAGAGCCTCTCTGCCTGGTCCGTCTCAGCCCAAGGAGAACTTTTGAGAAGGTCACTATGACAACTGACTAGCATGCTGAAGGTACTTCACCATGGAGTCTTCTCTATCAGGTGTGGGTTGACGAGGCTGACACTGATGTCCTGTCATGAAGAAACTGCTCCACGAAGGAGGTTCCGGGCAATACATGGCCTCAGTCGTAGACCCATACAGTATGACAGAGAATGAATTGAAGTCAGTTTATAAAAGAAACCAGACTAGAAGCCCCTCCCCACCAAGGCTGACATACAACAGAGCATGTCCTAAAACTAGTGTGCACATGAGCCAAAAACTGGGGGTGCTGGGCTATAAAAGTCCCGATTATTTCTGTTTGCCATCGATCCCCTGACATTTCTCACAGCTCTGGCCCACTTCCTTCCTTGGAAGTGCACACACACACACACACACACACACACACACTTAATAAGCTGCCTGTTCCTGTCACTATTCATGTGTTTGTGTTCTAGTCTTTGTTTTGGAACACAGGAGCCTGGAATTGTAGTGAGCGCCCTGGGACTCAGGTCTCCACTTACACCAGCAGTGGTACAACGACGCTCTCTGCTCTCTCTCTCTCTCTCTCTCTCTCTCTCTCTCTCTCTCTCTCTCTCTCTCTCTCTCTCTCTCTCTCCTCAGCTAGGCACTGCTGGATCTCTTCTCCCTTTTATTAAAAATTGTAATTATGAACAGAATGCTTGCTGACAAGTGCACAGCCTAAGCTGAACTCAGATCCAGAGTTTGACCCTGCTTTAACCCTGGTTAAGTTGCTTTAACTCCGAGTCCTCTTCTCCAAATGGGGCTGCTGGGATCTGCTCCGTGGCCCCAGTCCAAACGGTAAGTGCAGCGCTGGCTTGTCTCCCCCACGCAGATGGGAGAGGACGCATGGGTTGTTCTGTCAGACCAATGACTCTTAAATTAACCACTCACCAACTGCTGCCCTACTTTAAATGGAACAATGCCATCCACCCACACCATCAACCTTCTGAGGGCAATCTCGAACTGTAGTGCAGCTCATGAGCTGAGAAACAGTGCCTGGTTCCTTTTCCAGACTTAAAAAGGAAAGAAAGGAAAGAAATTACAGGCTTTCGTCCCCCCTCCCGCACTTCACAGACTGCACAGCGCCAAGTTCTCTCCGCTGTGTTGCCTCCCCCTTCCCTGCTCTCCCAGCTTAGCCCCTGCCTCTGCCGGGGTCTTTGTTTGAGATGTTTCCCTTTTTCCCTAAATTGTAGCATTCGATACACTGGGAGCAAGAGTACAGTCCTTTGTGCAGCGCTAAATGCCCAGAACAATCTAGAGAACTTAAATTACGTGAACAAGAGTTCACCCAAAAAGTCCTAAACGCTAGTTCTATGGAAGGATGTGTGTATGGACTTTCCTCCAGGGTTCTCTCATCCTGCTGATGACTGGCAATGCAGACACAGAGGCTTTAGCCACATGGGCAAGCATGCGAGGAATGTCAGCAAGGTTTCACTAGGCAGCCCTAGCTGTCCTGGAACTCACTCTGTAGACCGGGCTGGCCTTGAACTCACAGGGATCCGCCTGCCTCTGCCGCCTGAGTGCTGGTAAAGGTGTGAGCCACCATGCCCGGCTGGAAAGTCATCTTTCTCTGCCACGGGAGCTCCCTCTGGATCTCTGTAGCAGTTACGAGATTCCCTCCTGGTATTTGGGCAGGCATAGCTTCCCATTCGCCTTTGCACCCCTTTCCCTGCACAGGGCCCAGCGCACGCACGGTGAACACACAAGCACTGGTGTGTTGCGTGAGCCCTGGGCCACAGGGCACCTTCTGTACCTGAGGATGGAGGGGCGGAGCACAGTTGAGGGTGAAGGCAGCTGCCAGAGGCCAGGCAGAGAAGCTATGCTTGTGCTCTCACTTTCGAAGTGGGAAATGCCTCGAGAAGAAAGGACAAGGAAGGGCAGATGATTGATTACAAATACTGGGGCGGGGGGGGGGCACAAACATAGAAGACACTGTCTCGGTAGTGTGAGCATCGAAAGGAACATCTGTCCTGAGACGTCTTCGGAATGTCAGCACTGCCCCATCTCTGGAAGAATGGAGATTGAGGTGTCTCCCCCCTCCGTAATGCTGAACCTTGGCTCCAAAGCTCAACTGCTTTGAGTTCCTAGAAGGGGATCCTCATGTTTGGGCATCGCACACCAGTGAGCCCCAGGGGCCACCTGTGTCCGTCACCCCAGCGTTGGGGTTGTAAGCACCCAGCACCACTGTTTTTAAATGTGTTCTGAGAAACTGAACTCAGGTCCTCTTGCCTGTGAAACAAGCCCATTGGTGGCTGAGCCATGCCCGCAGCCTGTTCCCCAAACTGTTTCCTAACTTTTACTGTAAACCAGTTCAAAAGGCTTCTTCACGGTCGCCATCACAGGCCTGGGTGTCTCGGCACGCACTTCCTGTGTCAGGTGTCCTGTAGCTGGGGTTGTAGACGGTTGTGAGCGGCCACGTGGGTGCTGGGAATGGAACGCCAGGTCCCCCTGCGAGACCAGCAAGTGTTTGTAACCTCCGAGCCATCTCTCCTGTCTCAAATGCACGCTGTTCTTCAGGGCAAGGGACAAACCGGCCTCGGAGACGGTTAGAGGCTGTTACAGTGGGATTTCTTGGGTTCAGCTGTCACCCCGGTTTTGTAATCCACATATATGTCTCCCAGAGGAGACTCAAAAGTGTGACTGCCTGAAGCTTTTGGGGGAGCCCTCACGGCAGGGCTAAAGAGGCAGGGACGCCAACCCAGTAAGACTAGAACGTGGAACATGAAGGCAGCGTGAACTGCTCGTGAACGCCCAGATGGAAGTGAACTTGGTTTGGACCAGTTGGCACCTTTCTTCTTTTCCGTTTCCGCCTTCTATCTGATGCCTAGCCCACGACTACGCGCCAGAGACACGAAGTCATCTGAGTTGGTGAGTTCATAGCTAGAAAAGGGTTTTGCTGTAGGAACAAACTGTACCTAGAGTCTGGTCAACATCTAATTTAGGTGAGACGCGGAACTACAAACGGTAAACTCTCTTCGGTGTCCAAGAGCGGGCACAGGAACTCATTAGGACTTTGGGAGCTGTTGGGATGCATTTCACATGCAAGCGTATGAATCTGGTGGTGCCAAGGACGGGATATCACAGACTAAATGTTTATCCCCATTCCTTGCAACTTGTATGTTGGAGACCTGGCCCCCAGTATGATGGTGTCAGGAAGGGGTAAGTATATTTAAAAGGAGTCTGGAAACACCCTTCCCCATGACAGCAAATGTATCTGTACTGATTATTCTCATCTCTGTTTCTGTGACAAATACTTAACTGAGAAACTGCATGGGGGGGCGGGGTTATTTTGACTCAGAGAATATGACTCCCTTGTGGGAGCAAAGCACTTTCAGGTAGGGTGTCTCCATCCCTGTCAGTGGGGGCTTGTGGTGAGGCTTAATGCATTCTGTTAGGTCGGGAAGCAGACAGCAGAGAGATCAGCCCAGAAGCAGAAGCAGAAGTCCCTATCAACTTCCAGGCCTGACCCCAGTAACCCACTTCGTAACCCACTTCTGCCACTGAGGCCGAAGTCCCTAAGATCCTACAACCTGCTAAAGAGCATTGCCAGCTGGGGATGCAGGGTTTAGACACAAGAGCCTGGGTGGGGAGGGGGTCTGTGGAAGAGGAAGGAGTAAGGCAAGGCCATGCCCTCCGTCCGTGCACAGCAGAAAGGGAGCCAACTGCCTGTGAGCTGTGTTGAGAACTCCCCCTGGGAGCCAGCCCCCCAAACAGCTTCACTGTGAACTTCTGAAACTCTAGAACAAAGACTAATAAATGCCTGTCATTATTCTGCTCATTTTAAGGTGTTTGCTACCATCGCCTGGGCTAAATACAGCAGGAACATCTCCAGGAACTCTCAGGGTGGTGGTCAGCCAGCTAAGCCACAAGCTTCCCATCTGAGGGTTCCATGACCTCAAGCCCAGCAACACGTGTCTGTGCTTCGACTGTGAGATTCAAATTAGCTTGACTTTAAGAAACAACGCGGATTTGCATTTTCTGAACCGATTGTTATTTAATTAATAATAATAATGGTTAAGGCTTAAGGGTACTTTCTATTTTGTGGAACTGGAAGAAAAGATATGTCTTTACTTTTAAAAGTTCAGTACAAAGAAAGCCTCCCTGTTGAGGGAGGCTTCAGTAAATTCTCAGTGTTGGCTTGTTTAAATAACTAAGAACTAAAAGGAAAAAAAAAGAATGTTTGGGGTTTTTGTGAAAAGTTGGAGCTGAGATAAGTCAACCAACTGTGGTTTCTCAGTCCCCACGGATCTGCCGGGTACACAAAGCCACCGGACAGTCACATGACCCCTCTGATTCCTCAGGGCAGACTTCTCAGTGTGATGGGTGGAACCACTCCCCGCTGTGCGTGGCCAGGGGAAGAGGTACACATCCATTTCCTCCAAGAATTTACAAGAAAGTCCAGAATCATTGCAGCATTGAGGCTTCTTCCCTCTGTCTCTACAGGAAAAGCCACGGCGCTAAGTAAGCAAGACTTCTGTCACTTCCTGTTTCAACTTCCAGGACTCTTGTCTAACAATGTCTGACACCTTGTCAGCTTACCAGACAGGCCATCGCAGCAACAGACAAGCCCAGACACGGCAGGAGAGCCTGTCCAGGAGGGAGAAGATGTGTGGAGAATGTGAAGAGACATTGACGCTTCAGAAGCAAGCAGTCTTTGTGTAGGAGCCAACATGGAAGCATCCAAGGGAGGTTTCGTGGCTGTGGAGTGGAGTACGCTAATTCCTTTAAAAAGCTCACTGATGATTGGCGGATTGGCTTGCTGGGTGGCAGTGCTTGCTGTGCAATCAAGAGAATCTGAGTTCGCCGGGCGGTGGTGGCGCACGCCTTTAATCCCAGCACTCAGGAGGCAGAGGCAGGCGGATCTCTGTGAGTTGGAGGCCAGCCTGGTCTACAAAGTAAGTTCCGGAACAGCCTCCTAAACAGTACAGAGAAACCCTGTCTCAAAAAACCAAAAAAAAAAAAAAAAAAAAAAAAAAAGAAAGAAAAGAAAAGAAAAGAAAGAGAGAGAGAGAGAATCCGAGTTCAAATCCCAAACCCCCAAAGCTGGCTGTGTCCTTGCTCCTTGTAAACCCTGCACTGTGATGGGGGGGTTGGGGGAGACAGGAAGATGGCTGGGGCTCTTCTCTAATGTCTGGTAGAATTTGGTAGTAGACTGGACTGGACTGATCCTAGGCTTTCATCATCAGAGTCTCTTTTCTTGCTTCAATCTCACTCCTTGTTTTGTATGTGTTTAGGAAGTTTATTGCCCAGGGAGCCTGCATGGGACTGGGACTGACCTGTCATTCCTCCCCCACACACACACACATACGTGACGGTTGTGTAACTTGGTCTCCTCATGGGACTCCCAACAGTGGGAGCAGGGGCTGTCTCTAACTTCCTTGCCTGCTCTCCCTCATACCAGGTTGCCTTATCCAGTTTTAATAGGAGAGGAGGTGCCTAGTCACACTGTAACTTGATATACCGTGGCTGGCTGATATCCACCAGGAGGCCCTCCCTTATCTGAAGGGAAACAGAGGAGGAGAAGTGGATGGAGGGGAGGGGTGGGCAGCAGAGAGAGGAGGTGGGGTAGGGGCTGGAGGAGAGGAGGGAGGCAAAACCGTCGTAACAGATTTAGAAACAAAGAAGCAAAAAATATGTTTATTTCCTTTCTATTTCATTTTGGTAGATAATATATGTCTAAGAATTTACTCCCGCCATCTAGATTTTTTTTCCTATTTTGGAAGATAGGTTTCCAAAGTAGTCCTTAATGATCGTCTAGATTTCATGGGTAATATATGTTACAGTAGCCATGTTTAAAATGCTTGCTTATTTTTACTTTGTGTTGTGTGAGTGTGGGTGTTTCGCCTGGGTGTACGCACATCTGAGCACCACTTGCAGGGGCCAGAAGAGGGCATCCAGTTCCCTGCATCTGGAATCACAGATGGTTGTGAGACACCATGTGGTTCAGGAAACCAAACCCAGGACTTCGGCAAGAGCTGTAAGTGCTCTTAACTACTGAGTGTCTCTCTGGCCCCGTAATTGTTACATTTTCTTTTTGTAACAAAAGATTGTCACAAACGGATTGTTCCATTTGTTAATGTGTGCTGGCTTTTCTTATCTCCTCTGGCTAATTTTAGCTAAAAGTTTCTGCTGTGAGATACAGAACAGGTGCTCTGGCTTGTTTTTAGGGTCTGTTTATTTGATAAATTGACTTCATCCTTTCGCCGGCAGTCTGTGGATGTCTCTGTCAGGGAAGTGTGCTTCCCGGAGACAGCAAATAGATGAGTGTGTCTTTTAACTCTGTCGCTGTAATTCTGTGCCTTTAATTCAAGATTTAGGACCACTTACATTGAGGGGTATTTAGAGAGATTTATGTATCCCTGAAATTTTGTTGGTTTTATAGTTGGTTGAGTTGCTGATTCATTTCTTTCTCCCCTGTTCATATTAAAGGTTTGCTGCGGGAAGCATGATGGGGTCATTCCTAATGCCCCATTTCTCATCTTTCTCTTGTGAAGTTCCGTGTGCTCTCATGACTGGGTCACCAAAGGCTTTTGGTGCCTGCTTCCCATCTGTGCCCTCTCTGCCCTTCATGCCCCCTGTTACTGGTGACATTTAAACAATATTTTTTTTCTAGTTGTCATGGCACTTCAAGCGGGAAGAAATGCCCGTCCTTGTCATCTGCCCCCCTCTTAGCCAGGAGACATCGGCCTCAATCTCCTTACACGTAAGCCAAAAGTGTTCTTAACTCCTGCAATTCAAAATACAAATGGTAAATGACCGAGAAACGTCAAGTCCAAGACACGCTGGCAAATATGCTCTTAATATCCTGGTTCCCTTTTAACTTTATGAAGTGGCTGACCCTGATCCTGGGGCACTGTTTCGCCCACACGCTCAGCCTGTTTTCTTTAGAAAGAGTAAATTATAATGGAGTTAAGCAGACATGCTTTGCTGCTATTGTTCAGTTTCCTGGTTTTTATATTTTGATAGCAATCGCAGGGATTAGCAATTGCATTTAAATTGACTTCATAGCACACAAGTCTGTACTGGCCAGAGCTAGGGATACTTTCAATTATCTTATTTTAGTGCTTAGAATGTTGCGTCATAAATGCCTCCCCTTCTCTCAGGACCAAGGAATGAGTGGATCCAACGGGGGTGGGGAGAGGGTGGGGAGGTGGGGGTGGGGAGGTGGGGGAGGAATCTAATCTTTACCTCTTGCAGTTTTGACTTTTAGGTTCTGTACTTGCCTCTGGCCACTCCACCGCTCCGTATCCACTCCCTATTCCTGGTGCTCAAGAAACAGCAACCCAAAACAAGCTCTGCTTTTGCTGCCTTCTGCAGAAATCGATAAGAATGCAATTTGAACAAGGTATGATTTTAATCAGCATGCCTCAAGCGATAGTGTCAGGGCAACACTCGGGCCAAAAGACGGAGTCTGCCTAGACCCACACCAGGAACTTGAACTCTTGAGATACAGTTTTAAACAGCCAGGAGAACAATGAAACCGTGGCTAAGATTGGGGACTTGTCCCCCCTTCTGCTGGCTCAACTTGGGAAAGAAAAGTACTAAAACAATGTCAAGGGCATTTCCGCTGAAGGAGAAACCTGTAAACCAGCCACTCACCAGCCGAGTGTGGGAGACTGTTAGGGCTCAGAGTTTGCTTCTGTCTGGGCATGAAGTACACGAAGCCTAAGCCGTACACTGTTGTCAGGTCCCCAGTGTTGGAAATTTACCCAGTGACCTGGTCCAGTGCAGACAGATGTGGAGGAGCAGGGGAAGCCAGGCTTGGAACAGCTGAGGAAGATAAATGACCTTGGAGTCGCCCTAAGCAAGCCAGATGCAAGAAAGTGGCTGGTTTCCGAACCAGGGTTGGGGACAAGGGACTAGGCTGGTTCACAGTTCACTTTGCCAGCTCTTGCCAGGCCCTCTGTGCTTGACTGGGGGTACAGGTGGAGCAACCCTGCCTTCTGAAGGGAAGTTACCGTGAAATCAGAGCATCTCCTTCAGAAGGGAAGTTACCGTGAAATCAGAGCATCTCCTTCAGAAGGGAAGTTACCGTGAAATCAGAGCATCTCCAAGCTGGGTGTATTCCTGTCAGTCATCTGTGATTTATTATTGTTGCTGTTTTTTTACATTTGTTTGTTTGTTGGTTGGTTGGTTTTTATTTATTTATCCGGTGTGTAGGGGCAAGGGGAGGTCAGAGAACAGCTTTGGGGAATGGTTCTTTCCATCCTCTGAGGGTTCCTGGAATCAAATTCAGGCCAGCAGGTCTTGCTGCAATCACCACTTATCTGCTGAGCCATCTTGCTGGCCCCTCCACCTGTCCTCAATCTTAGGGGAAAAAAAGGTGCAAAAAAATGATACACATTCACAGAAGTAAAAACCCACTCCCACTTGCCCAGTTAAGTGGAGGTGCAGAGTGCAGAGTGCTATCCACAAGCAGCAGAAAGGAGGGAGATCAGCAAAGTGACTGCATTGGGGGGCGGGCAGACCAAAGATGCAGATAGCTTTTCACATTTAGCATGGCTCCGGCGTGAGCTTATGAGCACCTTAAACTAGAGTGGACATGTCAATGTCTATAAACTAATACCAGGTGAGGAGAGCACAGGCTCCTGCCCTTCCCGCCCCCCCTCCACAATGAAAAGGTCTGCCCAACCACGCTCTAACGTTCTCAGAGATTTTACATCTCCACTCTACCCAGTGTGGCCACAAGGGACTGTGGGCGAAGGCATGGGGTGGTTAATACATAACGCTGTCTAAGAGAAAGATGCTGCTGGATAAAATGTAACTCTGGTGACCTACAAACAGCGCACACTGGCCTGAGGCACCATTAACGAAATCCGAGAGAGTGAAAAGAGGTCAGGACCTCAGATCTGTCCCGGCTTCCAGGCCACTGAGTGCATTCCTCAGAGACAGAATCAGCCAAGCGTTCAGCGTCCTACGCTGGGCCCCATAGCCAAAAAATACAGGAAGGTCTGAAACCAGACATGAACAGTGAGCCTGCCTTGAGCTGTTAGGCCTCTGTTGGGAAGTGGCTGGAAATGGTTTCTGAAGGATGAAGCTTAGAGGGGATGTGGGAAAACTCAGTTTTGAGCCGACGACGTCCTGTTAAGGAGAGAACCTCGAGCCCATCTCCCCTTGCTAAGGAACGCAATTTACTATAAATCTGTCTTCCCCACACGATCTTCAAGAGAGGACTACATGGGGAAAATTCTGATAAAATGTAAACATGGAAAGATCTGAGTGTCCTGGTTTGCTTTCTGTGGGCATGATAGCACGGACCAAAAACGACTTAAGAGGTTTATTTCAGCTTAGTGAGTGGCAACCATGGAGGGAAGTCAGGGCAGGAACTTGTGGCAGGAACCTGGAGGAGCTGATGCAGAGACCGTGCAGGGGTGCTGCTTACTGGCTTGTTCTCCATGGCTTGCTCAAGCCTCCTTTTGGACGCGGTACAGGCCCACCTGCCCCAGGACGGCACCATTCTGCATTTATTAGCAAATGAGAAAATAACCCCACAAGGTAATCTGATGGTGGTAATTCCCCAACTGAGGTTCCCCCTGCCTAGGTGACTCTACTCTGTGTCAGGCTGACAGAAAGATGGCCAGCACAGCATGCAACACAGTATCTGTCTTTAAAGACCAGGAGAGGCAGGTGGGTGCAGTTGTACCACACTCGGGCATCTCTCCAGGGGATTCCTCATCCTACTGAAGGCATTCTTGCTCATCTGTGTTCACTGCCTGCTCTATTCATAACAAACAGAAGTTGGAAACATCTTTGACCAAAGTCCAGATGTAGTAACCAAAATAATTAAACTGAAATAACCAGAAAAAAAACATAAGTAAAAGATCTTGGCCTGTTATATCTAAATTAATTGCTATGTTCTTCCAGAAATGATCATTTCAAGGTTACTACGACCTTGATGTCAATTACTGTCTTTGTGGATTTTGCCCTTGAAAACTCTGTACTCCTGAGCTTGGACACCAAGAGACTCTTGAGAGGAACGAGCCCACTCTTGTCCGGCCATCAATAAAAAGGACTTAAAACTTATAATTGGCTTGATCAGCATGGTTGTCAATAACTGTTTCCTGTGGTTCATTTCAAGAGGCTAGCTTTTGGGAGCTGGTTTTCTCCCTAAGATTGTTAAGTTAAGGCCTCTTTCTGCTTCTCTGCTATGTCCTCCAGGCCAGCTCTCCCATCACTTCTGTAGAAGTACTGGGATTACAAATGTGGGCTACCACATCTAGCTTCCTAATTGGATTCTGGAGATCAAAATTGAATCTTCAGGATTGCTGGGCTAGAGCTTTTAAACAGTGAGTCATCCCACCATCCTCACACTGACATCCTCATCCTCATCCTCATCCTCACACTGACCATCTCCATCCTCATCCTCACACTGACCATCCTCATCCTCACACTGACCATCTCCGTGGAGTCCAGCTCCACAGACACCTTTGCAAATATTATTTTCTTTTGCCCGGAAACAAGCACATGCTCAAAGGAGCTGGCTATTGGTGCATGCAGAGAAGAGGGCCCATTGTGGGGCAGAGTAGGAAGGACTTCAAAGCTGGAATGCAATAGGCTTTGCTCTCATGGCAACCTCAAGTTTAAGATCAACCACTGACAGTGTGTAGGGAAGGCCTGGCTTTGCGGTGGTATGCAGGTCAGCGTTGAGCGAAAGGTTTTAAAATACACACTAGAGAAAAGTAGAGAGCTGTGAGCAAACAGGCAAAGTATTTGGAGATATAGTAACAAGGCTGAAACACAACTCAGGCGTCTTCAGAGTCTGTCAAGGAACCTGAATATGGACAAGACAGGAGCAGTGGGAAATAGCGAGAGGTATAGTCAGTAGGCATGTGGCAAAAGTCTCCAAATTCTAGGTATTTCAATAATATATTCTGATACACACCTACAGACAGTAGTGCCCTGGGGGTCAAACCCTGCTACTTCCTGGCTCTGCCATGCCATGAGTTATTCTGAGACACACCTACAGACTGCAGTGATCTTGGGGTCAAAGCTTGGGACTTGCTGGCTCTGCTGTGCCATGAGAACATTGTTTCCTGTAGAACTTAATAGGCATCTTAGTTTCTTTTCAATTGTTGTGACAAAACACTAAGATCAAAGCAACTCATTTATAGAGTCTATTGGGTCTTATAGTTCATACAGTGAGTCCATCAACCATCAAGGAGGATGGCATGGAAGCAAGCAGTCAGGCATGGTGCTGGAAAAGTAGCTGAGAGCTCGCTCACACTCTTATCCAGAAGTAGGAAGCAAAGAGAGAGATAGCTGATAGCGGCATGGCTCTCAGTGACACACCTCCTCCAACAGGCCACACATCCTAGTCCTTCCCAAACAGGCCCACCAACTGGGAACCAAGTATTAAAAATACAAGAGTACAGAGGTGGTTCTCATTCATACCACCAGGGCAGGTCACCCAATTATCAATGGAGTTCATCAGCCTTTGTTGAATCCTTCATGCGAGTGAGGATACAAGCAATATTATTCCTTCATGTCCACTGCCACAGGAAATGCAAAGGTTCAAGACTTACCTCTACAAGCTAAGGAGCAAAGAGAGACACAAGGTTTGTAAATGCAGGTTGTTAAATAGTGTGGGTTCAAGGCCAACGAGCCTGCCACAGGTCAGTCAGCCCACAGGCCCACAGATGAGCCCAAGTGGAAGAGCGTTGTGGGATCTCCGTAGTGTGTGAAGAGTTAGCAGGATATGGGGAGACAGGAAATAGATCTGCCTTCTCACTTATTTCAAAAAACAATGTCTTTTCTGGGATTAAAATCTCAAACAGACATCTATACTGTCTCTGCAAAGCAACTGGGTCCATCTGTGGATCTCAATGAAGATGAGGAACAGAGGCTTTGACCAAGATTCCCAATGTCTAGGAGAGAATCTGGAATTAAGTTCTGGAAGCAGAAATGGTTGAGATCATAGCAAAATGACATGGGGCTGGGTGGACAGCTCCTCTCTCACTATGGGATCTGCCAGAGTCCAGACAGCACTCCTCTTAGCCTTATCATAGTACCCTTGCAATTGGGTAACTCATTGCAAGGACAGTATAAATTCCAGAAAGGAAAGACCTGTCACAATATTTATGCGAGCCCAGCAACTTCAAGCTGTTCATTAATATGGCATTTTTTAACCATTCTGTGTAAGATCCTCAATTAATCTTCAAACAGTTACCTATCAATCTATCTATCTATCTATCTATCTATCTATCTATCTATCTATCTATCTGTCTGTCTATCATTGTATTATGTATTGGGGCTGGGGAGCTGTGCACCATTGCACAAATGGAGAAGCCAGAGGCTGACTTTCAGGAGTTGCTCCTCTCTCCCTCTGCTTTGTGGGTCCAGGCATGAGCTCAGGTGGTCAGGGTTGGAGATAAGCACCCTAGCAAACCAAGCTGTCTACCCAGACCAGTAACTCATCTTAGCTGAATTTCTTTACAAAAGAAAGGATTCCTGGTACAGCTCTCATCTAAGGATCTCTAACTCAGTAGCAGGAAATACCGTTTTCATTCTTACGGTTCTTCGATCGCAAACAGCCAAATGAAACCAAGTTAATTTAGACGAAATTAGAATATATTGGTGTTTATTGACCCACAGAATGAGAAGCAGGGGTAAAGAGACAGATGTCACTGGAATACTGTTGGTCTCTCTGGTCTGTCATTTGACTTTAGCTTAGTCCTGTACTGGGAAAGGAGCCAATCTGTGTTCTTTTGGTTAAAGCAGGAGAAAATGTCAGTGCATCTCAGTACCGTTCCCAACAGCTAGGTTCCAGAATTCCCTTCGATGTCCACCAGGAGGAATGGATAATGAATGTGAGACATCCTCACAGTGTGCATCTATTCAGCCACCAAGAAGCGTAAGACTGCTGTTTTCAGGGTGTGATCCAAATGCATTGTACACCTCTACGAAATTCTCAAAGGGTAAAGAAAATTTTATTTCAGAAATATAAAGGTCCTTATGAGACCCATCATTATATATATATATATATAAAATGAATACACACCAATTAAAACAATGTAATATATAAAGAATACATACTAATTAAAACAATGTAATATATGAAGAATACACACCAATTAAAACAGGGTAATATATAAAGAATACACACCAATTAAAACAGCATAATATATAAAGAATACATACCAATTAAAACAACGTAATATATAAAAGAATATATACCAATTAAAACAACATAATATATAAAAGAATATATACCAATTAAGACAACATAATATATAAAGAATGCCCACCAATCAAGGCAAGAGCAGCACGTGGGTCCTGCTGCCTGCAGGTTCATGTCTATGCTGAACCTCTGTGACTCTGTCACTCCCCACTGACAATGTGGATTCTCAAAGCGCAACCTCATAGTCAGAGACAAGACTGTGTGCCTTCCAGAGTTACACTCACCCTCAGTTCACAACAGAGGAGAAGGGTAGGTTGGCTTTGTGAAGACCGCTAAGTAATGAGTATAGCATGTCTTTCTCACAAGATAGGTTGTCATTTGGGCCGCATTCTTAAGTACCTGATGCCAGTGATTCAGCCAAAGCAAAGGTTTTTTTTTTTTAAACATGGAAAACAACTGACTTATCAGTGCTGTTTCTATTGCTCCGATGTGACAGGAGATCAGGAGAGCTGTACTGAAGGAGCCCACCAGTTGCTCTAAAGCACATATCATTCAGGACCAGGAAAAAAATGGATGGGGAATATAAAAGATGTATGGGACAGTAAAAGTCATAAAAGGAAGGCTCACAAAACTTGCTAAGAGTCAAAGTATAATGGTTTAATGACAAAGTATCTTTTAATGGGTAAAATTTAAAATGCATTCTACATGAACAGAAATGTCGACACAGTTGTAGCAATAGAGACTCATATTTCTTTAGTTGTCAAACTGGTAGATCAAGAGAATGAGGAGTTAAGCACTTAAGCTCCCAGCTCCTCAAAAGGCTTTCAAATGTTTAAAGAATGAAGGATCCTTAAATATGACAACAAGGACTAGAATCCTGTAGCCGGAGAGACTTGGCTCAGTGGTTAACAGCACTTGCTAGTCTTGTAGAGAACCAGGGTTCAGTTCCCAGCACCAACCGGGTAGCTCACGACCATCTATGACTCCAGTTCCAGGAAAATGATGCCCCTTCTGGCCAACACCAGCACTGCACTCACGTGGTGCACATACACACAGATAGACATGTATGCACATAAAATAAGAGCAAATATTTTTAAATAATCCTGACGCAGATATTCGTCAACATCCATTGAGTATGTTTTTTATTCTGAAAATTCCTTTCCCTCCGCCAAAATTCAGTACTCCCCCTTTCTTCCTTGCTAAGAATCTGGGGAATTGGGGTGACATGTCAAAAAATTCAGGCAAGGGTCGGTCATTGGTGGGGCGCACGCCTTTAATCCCAGCACCTGGGAGGCAGAGGCAGGCGGATCTCTGTGAGTTCGAGGCCAGCCTGGTCTACAGAGTGAGTTCCAGGACAGGCTCCAAAACAACACAGAGAAACCCTGTCTCGAAAAACAAAACAACGACAAAAAAAAAAATTCAGGCAAGAGAGGGCTGTGGTAATACACATTCTGTATCAAACCATAAAGACACCTGTGAAGATGTCCCATGTTCCGCCTGGTCACTAATCCCAGAGGCATGCCAGTCTGCATGGGGTCCAGGAGCCCAAAATAAATAAGCCTCATCATTTCCCCAGCATTCTCTCCACCCTCTGAGTTCCCTGGGAATCATTTCCATTCCTGGATAACAGCAGCTTCACTGCCCCTGATACTGCCTCCTGCCAGATCTCCTGCTGTGTCCTTCCCTCTGCTAGTCTGTTCAAACTCAGACTCCAAGAATATATTTCTTTTTTACCCTTTGACTTTCTATTCTCTTGCCCAAGCACCCCACCCAAACAAGATGCCCAGCCGAGCCCCAGACCCACCCAAACAAGATGCCAAGCCCCAGAAAGCGATGGATTCCATCTGGGGGGTGAGGCCAGATAGGGCGAGTCTGTAAAGCTCCCCAGACAATTCTAATTCATGGC